TTTTGAACATGTACTTATATTTTATAGTAATTTCATGTCAAATGCATTGTAAAATCTTCATATTGTAGAATAGTGTTCTGCCTCAGAAATATCATTTTATGAGAAAAAAGATTGACAATAATATATTTATGATACCAACATAAGTGGGACAGAAAAAAATGTCCAATGGGACAAAAGGATCCCCTACAGAGGCAAAAAGACTCCTCAATGTAGTTCAGTAGCAATAATGACAAGTTTTCTCTAGACTCTATTGAACTTGATGATGTAGCATTTTATCAGAGTTTATGATGTTTAATAACCTAGATGATTGTACATGACACAATCTGAAATTAAAATGAAATACAAAATAGCAGAAAATAAATAAACAAAAGAAGTATTTGATATAAATTACATGTCCAAAGACAATGCTATCTCCTAGTGCAAATATTTTATTACACTCCTAAATAAGTTTAATATTCACTGTTAATATAATGTACGAATCCCAGGTACTCACTTTATGATTCTATCTACTCATGTTAACATGCATGTTATTTAAGGTTCTTCAATATTTGATTTTCTTATAAATTTCTTTATCTTATTGAATCTCGTTGTTCATTAGATAATTATAATTATCTTTTAGGAAAAAAAGGTAAATAAATGTTGAAATAGATTAGGATTAGTCTCATTTTGGGATCAATTTTTACCATATAATTATTACAGAAAAGAAAATTTTTGAGTAAAGTAAACAAATGAAGTTTTTTCTTTTAATTAATTATTTTTTTATGTATTTTGGATGCTCTACAAATATTTAAATGATATGTATGTTTTGGACTGTCTTCGATTAATTTGAATTTTTTTAGCATACTGAAATTGCGTCAATTGGAGCATGATGTATTATATTTATTAGAGTAAATTGAGGTAATTTTGTGTATCTCATACTCTTGAAATAATCTCTTCATGTAAATAAAATTATTTTCCTTAAAATATACTATTATCCTGGTAAGCAGTCTACAAAAATGTGTGTTGGAGGAGTTTTAATTAGTTGAAAGTATTTCGTCTATGTTACATCCTACATCGACTGGTACAGGAGATCATCATGGGGCGTGACACAAAAACATGACAAAGTAGTTGACATGGTCAATCGAACCAAACTTGGAGCTAGAGCCAAGTGCTTCTCCAAAAGTCAAAGCAGTGATTGCGCATGTAAGCAGCTATACTATGGCTACAAAAAATTAGGGTTTTTTTTACATTCAAGTTACCAACGTTCGTCTCATAAGTAATAATCTAAGGAATAGATGAAAATTATACTAAACTCATTTCAAAGCATAAAAATAAAAGCTTGGTTTCCTAGTTTTGTAGTACTTTAAAATATTAACAATATAGATGATTCAAAAAAAATCAAGATAATATTAAAATATTTTGCATTTCTATAAATTAATGCATAGGCCAACTTTGACCTTTGGGATATTCTTGTAAGATTTGGAGCTTAGAAATACAAAAAATAAAAAAAATATAACCATAAATTTAATCAAATAGTTAATTATTTGCTAAATTTTCATTAATTATTAAATATAATATATTATTTTTCATTATATATATATTTTATAGTAATTTCATGTCAAATGCATTGTAAAATCTTCATATTGTAGAATAGTGTTCTGCCTCAGAAATATCATTTTATGAGAAAAAAGATTGACAATAATATATTTATGATACCAACATAAGTGGGACAGAAAAAAATGTCCAATGGGACAAAAGGATCCCCTACAGAGGCAAAAAGACTCCTCAATGTAGTTCAGTAGCAATAATGACAAGTTTTCTCTAGACTCTATTGAACTTGATGATGTAGCATTTTATCAGAGTTTATGATGTTTAATAACCTAGATGATTGTACATGACACAATCTGAAATTAAAATGAAATACAAAATAGCAGAAAATAAATAAACAAAAGAAGTATTTGATATAAATTACATGTCCAAAGACAATGCTATCTCCTAGTGCAAATATTTTATTACACTCCTAAATAAGTTTAATATTCACTGTTAATATAATGTACGAATCCCAGGTACTCACTTTATGATTCTATCTACTCATGTTAACATGCATGTTATTTAAGGTTCTTCAATATTTGATTTTCTTATAAATTTCTTTATCTTATTGAATCTCGTTGTTCATTAGATAATTATAATTATCTTTTAGGAAAAAAAGGTAAATAAATGTTGAAATAGATTAGAATTAGTCTCATTTTGGGATCAATTTTTACCATATAATTATTACAGAAAAGAAAATTTTTGAGTAAAGTAAACAAATGAAGTTTTTTCTTTTAATTAATTATTTTTTTATGTATTTTGGATGCTCTACAAATATTTAAATGATATGTATGTTTTGGACTGTCTTCGATTAATTTGAATTTTTTTAGCATACTGAAATTGCGTCAATTGGAGCATGATGTATTATATTTATTAGAGTAAATTGAGGTAATTTTGTGTATCTCATACTCTTGAAATAATCTCTTCATGTAAATAAAATTATTTTCCTTAAAATATACTATTGAAATAATCTCTTCATAATAAAACATTCTTGCATAGAAATGAGATGTAATTTTTAGCATGTGTTAGATGTAGTAATTTATGATATTTTACTCTAATCTATGATATTTTTCAGTAAAAAATAATAAAACATTATATATTTTAAAATAATAATTTATAAAATATGAAAATGCGACTATAGTGTGTCGTGTCATACTTTTTATAATTATGTATAATTATCATGCCCATGTATCCAATGACTACATGCTCCAGCGTCATGAACCCAAAGCTTATGTGATGCCACCTGCGACGACGAACTTGCAATTCCATGAATGGGGCCAAGTAAGCCTCAAGAAAAAATCCTCTAATACTCCCCAGCATTGTAGAACATATATTGTTCATGTCTGATCTGTTCATAAGATTTAGATTTATTTTAATTTAGTTTATTTCTAGTAACTATCTTGAAGATCTTTTAATTATGTATAACCCTTAGATTTGAACAATGGATTATGAATGAGTATTAAACTAGTTTAGTTTCTCAGACAAAAACGTCAGCTCCCCTTTCAAGTCACTATTTCTACTTCTCCCTCATACTTTACCTCCATGTATTTGTAACATAACTTTGTGAAGGGTAGTCCTTCATTATAAATTGAAAAAACTTTTAATTCTCCTTTTTTTTTGTCCATCCTATTAGGGACAATTTAGTAATTAAATAGCCTAGGAATTTAAAGGTTTTCTCTCATAAATACCCATGGCCCAGGCGAGTTAACATTTTTTTTGGAGAAAATTTGTGAGATACCCTGCAGTCTTAATTTGAGCGGATTCCCTATTTTAGGAGCGGTGAATGGAGAGGAATTCATAGCGAGTTTAAGATTTTTCCAAGATCCTAGCCTCTCGTGTTTTGTTGGCATTTTCAGGGGCTTCCCAGCTGCATAAACAGAGTATTCCTGCCGCAGGCTTGCTGTTCAACATTTGCTGAAAGCCAGCAAAAAAAAAGGCAGATTTGATTCTTGCTGATTTTCATCCACCTGTAGTGAATTCTGGTTCTTGCGGTGAAATTTGTCATGAGGACTGCTTTATAACAGCTTTCTTGAAGCCTGGGGATCATACAAAAAAGGTTCTTCTTTGTTTTCTAATTTTGATAATAACATTTAATCCATCACAGCTAGATTATTATGTTCTTTTAACTGTAGGAAGGCTTTAAATTCCAGCCAAGACAAATAGTTAAATTCAAGTTATGAGAAAAATCAGTGAAGATCAGGTTACGAGAAATTAAAGGCCAATTGAAACTCTCAAGAACCGTTCAAGTTACCCATTTCTTTAATCCACAAAAAAATTCCAAATCAGGTTTTCTGTCTTCCCACTTATTTAATCCAAATATTTCTCATATTTGAATTTAGAATCTACCATTCTGTCTTTTATTATACTATAACTAAGTGGGGAAGTTGTGATTTGGATTTGCCATAACGGACTTCAGGAAGAACAGCCTAGGCGTGTTGAATACCTCGAGCCCTTAAAATTAGAAAGACCAGAGAATGAAATAAAAAAATGCCAATATTACATGGATCTAACATGAACTAGACCGATAACTAGTTCGTTGGTGTTTATTATTTATATATTTCCTTTATTATCATTCACTATGCACAAGAAACAACATTGTCCAGCCAGTGCAATTGCTTAGTGTATCTTAAGTAGCCTTCACGAAGAATGAAGCCCAGTTGGAGTTCTTTGGACTTTTTTGGCACCTTCTTGTTGTAATTTACCAACTTATTCGGGTATTTATTTATTTATTTCAGTTACTTCTTACATTTATCTCTTTTTCTCCTTCCCCTACTGTTCTATCTTAATGACTTCAATTTAAGCCAAATGAGCCAATGATCACAATACCCAAAGGGGGTGGTGTGGATAAAATTACTACCTCATGAAACTCTAAAAGGTTCCCAAATGAGGCCTCGATAAGCCTGACTCATATACTGATGATAGAATATTAACTAGTATAAAATGACTTCAGTTTATACCTTCGCTGAATGCTCTCCTTCGAAGCCATATCTTCATCTCCTCATTCCTATTCTCATCTCTCTGCTATCGTATCCATAGCAACCGTTCATCTCTTCTTTTTAACTTTTAAACCATAATGATTGTGGTGCAGAAGTTATTACTTCCTCGTACATCTCTACAGGGTTCCCGAATGAAAGCCTCGATCACAATGCAACTAATTTATGTAATCGTCTAATCTTCAAAAACATGTAAACATCACAATCTTCTGGCTCAAATGTATCTATTTCTAACTTTCATCGGTTATCATGTATCTCAAGTCCTACTTTTTAATATAAAACATAAAGCAGAAAAAAAGATAATAATTTCCTGACATAAACAGAGTTTACAAGTGTCTAGAAACCAAAAAAATATAAAAATAGAATCCAAAATGACAAACATAAATGAAAGGCTTTCACGTAAACAACAAAAATGATCTTGCAAAAGGATATGCTTACCTGATGACGATATACAATATAAGCCAGGCCAAAAAATATTATTATGTAGGGAAGCAAGAACGGTGTGACCACAGCATAGGCAAGACCAAGAAGAAAATATAGCTGCAGCTGAGGTTCAGATGATCCAAAATCAAAACTACCAGGGTCCATTGCTTCTTCTCTATCCTTATCAGTTTTTACAAGAAAGAAGTTTCTCAGGTGATAGATTATCAGAGGTTTAAATCTTAGTATCTCACCAGCAACGCCAGCCCAGCCATCAACCATGACAAAAGTTATGAAAAATGATGCTTTCATTGGAATTGCAACACCAATAATCCTTGGAAAGCTGAAACGTAAAATAAGTAATCAAAATGCTGAAACACGTGACATAGTTCGCATAATAGCAACATTAAAGATCTGCTAAAGTTTCTGGTAAATGCTTATTTAATAATTAAAATATTTAAAAAAATCAATACTCACAATTTTAATGAGAAAAGTACCAAAATAGTTCACAGTTAGAAAAGTTATTTTAATCCAGGAGTTTACAAAAATATCAAATTATTCTATAAACCTTAAAGGGAGCTGAAACAGTCCACTTTTTAAAAGAGTATTAGGACCATTTAAGTTCATATTAAAAGAGTTTAGCGGCCAATTTGACACTTTATAGGCTCCGAGAATAAAAGGCCCCATTGCAAAGAGTCGGGGACTATGTTGGCACAATTCTCCAACTTAATTATATTTGAAAGCATATTTCTAGACCTAAACTTCTGATAATGGGAGCGCAACATTTTTGTATTAGGATAGATTGAAGAAATTCAATCAACACATAGAAGATATGAAGTTCCAGCTACAATATCTAAGTAGAAAAGCTCCAAATAGATGCTTGTCAACTTTCAAATATTAGAAATTCATAGCTCAAAAACATATTAAGAAATTGGAACTTTAATTTTTTTCTCATAAAGAATGTTTAAGCAAGAATTTAATTTAAAATGTCAGAGAAAACCAATCATCAAAGAAAAATCTTACATAAACATAAAAAAAATGCATAAAAAAACATTTGTAATCATAAATCAGATTTTTTAAGGGCTTCAAATACAATTCTTATTGCATAAACAGAACCAAAGCCACATTCCAATGCAATTGATGAAGTTAGTTGAAGCTTTGAAAATAAGAAAGACTCGCACATATTAAGTTTTAACAGAATTGGTTTTAAGATGATATATACACTTCAAAAATTAAAATGGAAGAACCGAAAATAAAAACAGGTTGAGACTTTGTAAGAGAATTTACAAATATGTTTGAGAATCAAAAATAAAAGGCATTTTTTGGGAGTATAGGCTTTTAAACATCTAACATCCTAATATATTCGCTTGTTAGTTAAGAAAGAGGCAAGAGACCATACTCATTAACTGACTGGTGAATGAAAGTTTTGAGTTGCTGGAATGCAGCTCCAGCAATTATGTTCCCCAGGAATACATTTACAAGTAAGAAGAAATAATATTTCGATGCTGCTTTTCGCTCAAGGATTGATAATGCCACAAATCCTTCAAACTTGGACATCAGCATCAATATTGTTGGCAGCAGGATAAGAAAAATCTTTAGTGCAATACCTGGAAGGAAGCCTTGGATGAATGATTTAATTAATTTCCTGTAAAATCAGAGATGAAATCCAACATTAGAAGATACTAAATAGCTTAAGTATCTATGTTTATTCAGAATAAAAATATATATTCAATAAAAAAAAAGAAACCCTAATTATCGAAATTGAATCAGATTAGCTCTAAATAATTATTCTACGCTGGGAACTTTATTCCAACCAAATAAGCATATAGGAATAATATTAAAACCATTTGCACCCAAATAGTACAAGCGGTACTTTTTTAGTCTGATGCCATAGCTCAAAATCTAATCAACCCACCCTAGTGTGAACCAACAGGAAACCGAAGTTGGGCTAGATGCTCAAATTCACTTTTGGTCCAAAAGTGTAAGCTTATGGGTGAGGGCCAATCACTAAATATTTTTACACAGACATGTTTTTAAACTACCCCCTACGGAACTTAATACACCCTCGCATGCCTTAACAACCTCTCCTTCATATGAGAGCTCTCATATTGGTTATTACTCCACTCTAAAAGGAAAGCTTTCACATAATCTAGAATCATGCACTGGGCTCCCACTCAACCACATGCAAGACCATGGGAATCAGAGTCTTAAATCTAGTTCAACCATGGAAGAAATCAGATAAGTCCCCTAGGAGCCACAAATTGAAAAAAAAAATTAATTGAGTCCCATAGGATCCACAAATAAGTCCTAATATATCATATTTCATCATAAGTCCCATAGGAGCCACAAATTGCATCAATCACTTAATCCTAGCCAAACCATCAATCCTAATACCACTTTTTATATCGAGTGATCCATAAATGGATTAAAATTGGTCTAGATATGCCAATATTAAACGCACTTGAATCCCAAAATGCTTAAATTTGAAGTTGAGGGTCAATCACTTAAAATGTTTTTTACAACAATACATTTGTTAACCACTCAATGAGAAATTAAATCCACTCTCGTGTGACTCGAAAATTAAAAGAAGAGTATTATGGGATCAAAAAGATTCATGTAAACGAAGAATCCCTTCATCATATTATTGTCAACATGTAATTCTCTACAATTATCTTCAATTTTTTTGGCCAATTCCATCTGCAATGGCTAGAATAACATCAATCACCAAATTATGCCACTCTAATTGACTATAGAATTTCAATTCAGAAACATCACATGGAATGGCTACATTTCTTAGGTTGGCCGCAACATCTTCAACCATTATACCAACACCAGAAAGGTCCTACAAATGGAGCTTGGCTACATCAATAGGGTCATGTACTATATCAAACACATCTAATAAAACCTTATTTCAATCAAAAAGTAGATAGGGATGACATTAGAGAAAAAATACTGGCACGCCAATAGAAAAATCTCACCTATCACTAAAAAGGTGCTTCTATGAAGTTGTTGTTGGCTCTTATGACACCAAGCTAGGGTTTCTAGATGGTATTTAAGGATCAAAAATGAGATTGAGGAAATTGCAGAAATAATAATAAGAGCAAAATTCTGAGATTCAAATAGGATTTGGGCAGAAAATACAATGATGGTTTCCGTTGTGTGTAACAAGGCATTGAGGAAGTTAAGCGAGTGCTAGATAGGCAAGGGTACAGTCATCAACAGTTGTTTTCCTGGGTGAGAATAGCAAGAGAGCATCATCCAGAGACAGTTACGAAAAATTATAAACTCCAAGGAGGATTCGGCCTCTATTCCCCAATCAAGTTACAAGCACACCACTTGAAAAAAAAAAATGACACATTACTACTACGATGAGAAATCTAAGAAAATCTCAAAATAGCACATAATGAAAATAAAAATAAAAATAAAAATAAAAAAGCTGTCCAAATCAGTCCAAAAGAAACAAATATGTAGTTGCCCAAACAATTAATCCTAATACTAATGTTAATTAAAGTAGTTAATTTCCTGAGCGGTCAGCCTAACCATTGGATGCTGGGAAATATGGACCATACTAGAGAAAAAAGAATTCAGATCCAATTATATGTTTCACACGTCCACATCATTCTCCTCGAGTAGGAGAGGGCTTGCCCTATTTACTGCAAGCACCTAAATTTTCAATGTATGAAGATAGATTAGAAACCCTGAATGTAGCACCCATGTTATAGTCCAAGGACAAGTTAATCTTGCACTCATTGTCATTATTTTTCTTTACAATCTCGAATGGGTTGTTAGCTTATAAAATCAGCTTTCTGAAAGAACTAGTGGGGAATTGCTCCTTCAATATGATCCATATTGAATCGCCTTCCTTAGAATCTTAGGATCCCTTGGATTTATTTTCTGCTTTTAATACTTGATGATCTATTTGGCAATTTACTTCCTCACCAACATATGTAGAGTCTGAATCTCTAAGATCCTGCATCTACATTAATACTAAGCTCAATAGATAGGTGTATTGGCCCTAATTTCAAAGGTGTGAGAAGGTTTTTCCCATATACAATCTCAAAGGGATTAAAACCCGTGGACTGACTAGTAGACTTATTGTAAGCAAACTCAACCTAAGGAATAATCAAATCCGCTACCTTATGTTCTTTTCCACAAAACGTATGAGGAGATCCCCCAAAATATGATTCGCCACCATTATTTCTCCATCTATCTTAGAGTGCACTGATAAACTTAACTGAATATTTGAAGTTATCTTACACCATAGGGTCCTCCAAAAGTAACTAAAAAATAGCATGTTTGTTATATGTGAAGCATCAATCGTTGTCCCTGTTTGAAGTGATGGTCCTGGACAAACCATTATGATAGACTATCTACCTAAAATACATGTTTTTTATATGTGAAGCATCAACCATTTTATAACAAGGTACAAAATATGCGGCCTTGAAAAAGAGATCTACTACTACCATAACAGAGTCCTTAGTCTATTATGTCTGAGACAAATCCGCCATGAAGTTTATGCTCGCATCCAACAAGGGTGATTCTAGGAAGGGAATGGGAGTGTACAAACCCATACTCTATCCTCATGTCTAAGCGAAATGATATATCATGCACTGTCTGACATTGTTTGTCTACATCTTGTACTAGCCTGGGTCACTATAATTTTCCTTCACTCGGGATAAAGTCTTATCCCTACCATAATTTCTTGTCATTCCTCAATATTGGCACTAATACAAAATGCTCTACTTAAGTGAGCTCATAGGAATGCACAGCTTATTTTAATGAAATAAATAATCATCCAATCTATAAAATAGCTAATATAATCTCCCCTAGAAATACTTCCAAATTTCTTGAAAGTCTTCATCAATGGCTTACAAGTCATTTAATACTTTGAAACCAACTAACTTCAACTACATGGTGAGGATTAATAAGTGGCTACAACTCAACACATCAATTATCTTGTTTTAACTCCCAGCTTTATGCTTGAGCACAAAAGGAAAAGATAAGAGCTCAGCCTAATGCCTCGTGATAAGTATAATGAATGAACTCGTTTGTCAGTAGGTAATTACTTTAATGACTAAGAGCTTTCACAATGGCATAAAATTTCTAGTCATACATGCAATAATTTTGTTTGGAATCATTCAACTTATTCCTAAAAAAAAAGATAAAATGCCCTTATAAACTCACGACAACCCCAATCCCTATATGGGATGCATCACATTTAACTGACAGTAGAACATGAAGTTGAGTAACCTAATTCTTCAAGGCATCAAAATTAGCTTATGCCTCCTCTGTCTAGGCAAATCTGTCAGTCTTGCAGAGAATCGTCAAGGGCGTCATAAGAGAGCTAAAACTGCTGATAAATCACCTGTATAAAGAAGCCAATATATGAAATCGGCATACTAAGTAAACAATTGCGGGTTAGGGAAATTCACAATAAATTCGATCTTAGCAAGGTCCATTTCAAAGCCAACAGCAAAAATAATATATCTAAGGAACTACATCTACAACGTCAAAAAATGACACATCTTATTGGTCATATAGCTGCTCTAGCCTAAAATTTAAAAACACATATCGCAAGAGTTGAAAATAGTCCTCTAAACAGCTATACACAAAGATACTGCAGAAATACTCAAGGCATTGGAATGAACAAAGGACATGTCACCCACTCAGACAATCCATCCCGCATGATGAATGTAGTTTTCCACTTATCCCCGTGCCTAATCTGAATCTAATGATATCAATTGTAATGATCTATCTTGCAAGAAATCTAGCTCCATGCAACTGATCCAAAAAATCATCCAATTTCACAATAGGCAACTGATAATTAATGATGATCTTATTTATTACCCTGGCATCAATGCACATGTGTCACAACCAAATATGAGTATAATCAGAATTAGTACAACTCACGGACTGATACTCTCATGAATCAACCCTTATGCCATCAAATCCCAAACCTGCTTCTACAGCTCCACATAATTTGTTAGTCTCATTTGATATGCCAGTCAATTGAGAGACATTGGTTTAAAAAAAAGCCTACAAATTGTTGAATCTCTAGTGGCGTGGTAATTTGGGTGATACTTTATAAGTTAGAACATCCTAAAACTCCTATAATTCACGTTGCATTGACTCAAATATTGGCTCAACTATCTCACAACTCTCCAACATCACTAAGGTTAATCCCACTAGCGCCTCTCTCATAGTCTATAAAAATATAGTATGAGATTATAACTTCCATCTCTGTATGAGTACTCATCATTGTTGACTTTTCAAGGGAAAAAATACAATACCCTTCTCATATTTGATAAATAATTGGGGTTTTTTTTTTTTTGCCTTTATGAAGTATATCTCTCATATTACTACAGTTGGCCCAATAAAATGTGACATGCATTCATAGGTGCAACGTCAAAAAACACCTAATCATCTAGCTTGTCTCTAATGAAAACTCTTCCAAGCATCTCTTGTTAATAGTGATCTCTCATGGTTGAAAATGTGTTGAAGAGTGAGGCTCAATTTGTCTACCAATCTATGTACACACCACATTCTCATAATCGCCTTCATCTATAATGAAATTGCACACCTTCTCATTCACTGTGCAATGAGTACGAATGTTCTTACACCTAAGTCACTGCTAATCCCTTGCGG